CACACCTTGATGTTTCGACTACGTCGTCTGAGACTAGCAAAACCATCCTTCCTGCTGGTAACAATAAGGCGAGTTTTTCTCTTGCAAGTGATTGATAGTTTTAATAATGATGGATTGGTTCACTTTTTTTACTTCTCCTTGTTACAGGAATGGATATATTTCTTGAATAAAGGATCTCGGATAAACATTTCTTATAGCACAAATTCCTTGCTGTCGTCTGCTCTCATCCTTGTCATTGCCGAAGGTAAGATTTCAACTTCTCCATTAGAAGTTCAATTTTCATACGATACCACTTGGTAATAGGAAGTTTTCGAGAGATTTTATTAATAGACTAAAGTTCAGTCGAGACCAACTGTACTATATTGCCGATACCGTGACCAGTCCATGTTATCGAATGTCGTTCGTTTCTTCCTTGCAATGAAACTTAAAAGACTTTTGTTTGAGTGTTGTAAACATTTCAATCTTCTTTTTGACCTTGTGAGCATTAGACCACGAGATTGCTAGACAAATCCTCCTCGGCATTCACTAGTTCCAAGAAAGGCCGGTCCTGTGATTTTTGGGGCCCGAGGCGAATTCCATAAATTGGGCTCCCCCAAAAATCAACGTAAATGCAAAATCCAACAGTGTATTATGCAACCTATTGCTAACTTAAACCTCATTATACAGTCAGGTTGAATCACCATTTCAATTTCATTCAACACATTCATATTGTTGCTTTTAAAGTACTTACCAATATTCCCTTCTTGATTTTGAGTTAATGCAATTTCATTTTTCTCTCTAGAGCTCCAAACTTATATTTATGAGGCATAGTGTATGAATCTAATGCCCGATGATTAACTTAAAAGACAATTACAAAATATCTCAATCCTCTCACAATAACAGTTTTCAATACAATTACTACGTGCGTTTGTACAATTGATCCTACAATAACCAATCATATAAGCTAATTAGACCACAATTATATAAGCCGACAAAGTTTCAAACATTTTCAATATATTCAATATAAAGTTTGGGCAAGTCATTGCTTGCTTGAGAAGTAG